CAGAGCTCCCCCTGTGGGAGCTCTCTGACCACCAGGGGGCAGTTCCTGATTGAGCGTCTGCCCCCTCATGGTCAGTGTATGTCATAGTGACCAGTCATTCCCAGTCACTCTGCTGTTAGGGTCAATTTGCATATTACCCTTTTATTATATAGGATGTCAAACCAATAATTCAATTTTTAAAAAGAGCCCTGAAAGGTGCCATACAGATGAGAGCACTCGGTGAGGAAAACCCTAAAAGGCCCTTTGTAAACAAGTCAGATGATAACCGATCAGACAGAACACGGCAGGTTCCCCCAGCCCGGGCCAGAGGCGGAAGGTCTGTGGTAAGAAAGCTGCAGGGCAACCCGCTACCTTCCGCGCCAAGAGAAACCCAGCCCAACGGTCAGGGGCCTCTGCGCCAGGACCTAGCCAACCACTCTGTCCCACAGCACATACAGGTGCACACACACCCTGCACCTGACCACCCATCGCCAGCCCCACCAGTCCCGGCAGGCACGACCCCCCCGGAGGCCCAAATAACAAAGCACTTGGACAGTGATTCCTTCCAAGGGCCCATGGACCTTCAGACCCAACCAGATTCCACCTTTACTCCAAGAACAGCCCTGGCCGGTGTTGCTCAGTGGATAGAGCATCGGCCTGTGACCAGGTCCTGGGTTTGATTCCGGTCAAGGGCACATGCCGGGGTCGTGGGCTTGATCCAACCCAGTGGGGGGTGTGCAGGAGGCAGCTGATCAGTGATTCTCACCATTGATGTTTTTCTCTCTCTCCCTCTCCCTTCCTCTCTGAAAGCAATAAAAAGATATTTAAAAAATAATAATAAAGAATAAAGCAGCCTGTCAGCTATCGAGGACTCGGGTGAGTCAAAGGAGCAGTGAAACCCACTTCCAGGGGAGCTTACACGCTTCCCCACGCCTCCCCCCGCTGGTTACAGGCACATGGACGCCTTTCTTAATCACAGGCAGCCTTTTGAAAGCCGTGTGAGCCAACAGTTTTCCTCTGCCGGGAATTTCAGGGGCCTCACGAGCCAGAACACTAGGCTGGGCAGGAGGGCCCTCACCTCTTCCCAGTCTGGCCCCTCTACACCCCACGCCGTAAGGAGCAGCCAGATGGTAACGCTCCGATTTTCTGGAACCCCAAGCTGTTCCCTCTGACTAGAATTCCTTATTCGGTCCAGACACATCCTATCTATCCGCAAGGACCCACTCCCAACACCGCCTCCTCTGGAAATCTGTAAGCAGCCCTCACTGTCCCCCCCCCACCACACACACACACACACAGACACAGACACAGACACACACACACACACCATGCTTTAAGGGCTTTAAGGACTTGCTACAGCTCTTTCGCAGCCAGCCCATTGTCCAGGAACTGTGTCTCAGTCACCTCTCCATCTCCCAGCCCACACAATGCCCAGCCAACCTGAGTTCCCTGACCGTGTTCGCTGGAGGAACTGCCCCTCAGCTCACCTGCTCCTCTCACGCCGTCGCAGGGAAATGGCTGCATGGCCCTGGAGGTGACACTGGAGCCGCTTCCAGACTAAACGGAATCCCCTTCTCAGCCCCGCAGCCAGCTTCCTTGGGGGGAAACTGCACTCGCGCTTCTTGCGATCGTGCACGAGGCAGAAACAGCAAGAGGAGCAGCTGGGGGCTCCGAGAGGTGGGGGCGGGGAGGGGAGCCTGTCCAGGGCCTTCTGGGAGAGGCGGGGGCGGGGAGGGGTAGCTGCAGACCAGTTTTCCTGAGCACTCACGTTCATAACATAAAAACTACCTAGTCTCCTGTGTCTCCTGCGTGGATTGGAATATCAGGAAAAATGTTTCCAATTATTCTTGAAAGAATGAGCCTTGAGTCTGGTGGGGCTCATTGCACACGAAGGCCCACACAGCCAAACAACTGTTGAGCAACATGGGGGAACATCAGAAACTAAACAGACAGGCGTCTACCACTGTGCGGCACTGTCTGCGCGTAAAGAGAGGGAGGAGGGGAGAACACAGGTGGAGGAGACGAAGGAAGAGGAACTAAAAGGAGAGGAAGCCTAGGGAAGGCCCCTGACGGAAGTAGGTCTCTGGGTGGAAAGGGTAGGAAATATATACTTGATGTCTACTAAGCAGGCTGACGGACACAAGATTAATACAAAATTTTTAACAAGGGAGTCAAAGCATTCATTTAAATGAATAAAAGGGGCTCTCTTCTACAACATATATTTTAGTGATAATGAAATTTTGCCTCAAAATGTAATCCAGGCTAAAATAGAAATTATTTCAGAAAGATTCTAGGTGCCTATAATGAACTAGCTATAAGGACCTAATTAGTTCTGGGTCCGTCTCATTAATAAGAAATCTATGATGAAATGGAAAGTGTGCAGAAAGCATTTCTGCAGCACACCAAAGCCCCAGGGACATTCTGAAAATCAAATTATGCAACTGACTGATGGACGGGGAGCTGAACTCGCTACGTCTTTCGTGGAGCATTATTTTTACTTGAAAGAACAACTGACAAACAATGGTTGTTTAAACGTCTGTATCTGACCTGCATTTTCCCAAAAATGAACAAAGTGAGCCTGACACCTCTAGAAAAACTGACAGTGTTTGTAGCCAATGATAAAATTCAAGCTTTCAAGCAAAAACGTGAACACTGGAAAACTGTTCCCAATACTTAAAAGATAAATAAGGAGGCTTTTCTTCTTCTACTAAGTAATAGCTTCCGTTCAACAGAGAGAACTTAACTAGCATACGTTCTGTTTTTCATTCTTGCTAGGTTTAATCAAGTTTTTAAAGTCATAAATTATAAGACCCATCAAAACAGTACAGTGTTTGAACCTAAGAAAATGGCCAAAATTTTTATGACCTGTAAGTATTTGTTCTATGGCAAACATTAAGCATAAGTTTTTTTAAATGTATTCATATTTCGCATCAATTGAATTTTAAGAATCTATAGATAATATACTAATGCACTAACCAAAAAAAATGGATGACTATCAGGTAAGAGCTGAAACTCTGATTTCCTTTGGTTAGCTTTTTGAGTAACATACCTTTAACATGTTATGTTGTTCAAAAAAGAAAATAAGAAACTGTTATTTAAGTATAAAAAAAAACTTGTTCTCCAACATATCTCAGTTAAATGTCTAATAAAATAACATCGCCCAAAGACGTCCAATCCTTAAAGAGCTACCTGAGAAAATAAAAAATGCTGTAGAATGAGTTCATTTAAGTCTTCCAAAATGGCAGAGGATTTTAAGAAAAGCCTGCTGACTATTTTGGTTAACTACTCTCAATCCACTGAGCAATCACTGTCGTTTCTACTACAGCTGCAAGGAGTAGTTGAATTAGCCTAAAGGAAAAAGCTGCATTAAAGGGAAATAACATGTTAAACTATTCATACTTCTTCAAACTTTGGCCTCAAACTTCTATTTCATGATGCATCCAGGTTTCCAAGATTTATGTCTTCTCAACCATCACCTGAGCTTATATATCTTCACTGAATCCGACATTTAATCAAGAAAAGTCAAGGTGTACACCTGAACTAATATCAATACCATACTTTCTACTTTCGTAAAAAATAGTAAGATATAAAAAAGTAATTCAGTGCATACTGTTTTACTTCGAGAAGTATTGAAATAAACTAGAATGCCAACCCCCTTGTTCAAGAGTCAATGAAGTATTTCATTGTGAAAAAGGAAAACCCTCAGTGAGGTTTGCTTCTTCCATCCCCACCGCCCACCTCACACTGCACCACAATAACCTACAACCACACGAGACAAGGCCCGGGATAATAATTCCACCTCAGAAGCCCGCAGGGTTCTCACTGTGCGAGGCCACACATGTCCAGCCACGTCAGCGGGAGCAGTGACACTGGCTTAGAAGACTCGTGTCTCACAAGAAATGACAAGAGACGCCACGCGGGTGCTGAGGAAGGTCACATTAAACACCTAACAACCAGGGAGAACTCAGAACAGTTGTGGAAATACAGCGCGTTTTCATGTCCACCTGATGTTGCTATTTCTCATTCACGCGAACGCCACACTGGCCCCTTTCCAACCAAAGGGGGCTGAGGAATTGGATATTTATTTCATAAAAAAGCCAATTCAGGCCCTAGCCGGTTTGGCTCAGTGGATAGAGTGTCAGCCTGAGGACTGAAGGGTCCCAGGTTCGATTCCGGCCAAGGGCACATGCCTGGGTTGCAGGCTCCAATCCCCAATAGGCAGGAGGCAGCCAATCAATGATTCTCTCTCATCATTGGTGTTTCCATCCCTCTCTTCCTCTCTGAAATCAATAAATATTTTTAAAAAAGAAGAAGAAGCCAATTCAGGCAGATTATACCAAAGTGCATTTTAGCCCAAAGGCCAGAAAGTGGTAAATAGGTTAACACGTTAACTACAAACCACCTTACCTAATTGTGGGGTTTTGGGTTTTATTTCCTCTCGGAAGTCATCCCAGCAGGTAGGAGAGGCTACACCTATCCCTGCAAAGCGGACCCACGCTCGCTCAATAACGCGGCGGATGTTTTACGAGGCAGCTCACTGGCCGCCTACACTCTGGCCCACAAACCCCACTGGCCCCGTTCTCCCCGGCGACCTGGGACGCCAGGATGCGGACCCGGGGGACTCAATCCCACGTCCTGCCCTCGGGCTCTCCATCCGGTTATACAGCAGATGTTCCCTCTGCGGGTGTCTGAGTAAAACTACGAGGAAGCCCCGAGTCTAAACTTAAAGGCTTGGGGTGAAAGGGGTGACGTTGTCATGGATACTCAGGAAGGGTCCAGGGCGCCCCGGGCCATGGCGCCTAATTGCGCTCGGTCCCCGGGATGCGCTCTTAGGTCCTTTAAACGTGCACGCACCAAACCCACACCCCAAAGCCGGGCCAGGGCGGTGTCAGGGACACCCCTGAAACCACAGGCCACACGAAACGCTGTCTGCGGGGCTCCGACGACCCCGCGCCCACATCCCCCGGCGACATCCGCGCCTCCCCCCGCGGCCGCGGGGAGCCAGGTGCGCCCGTGCTCACCGAGGCCCGGAGCCACGTAGACGAAGTAGAGGCCGGACGAGGACAGCGAGAAGAAGAAGAGGAAGGCGAGGAGGGAGCGGTTGGAGACCCGCATCGCCCGCCGCAGCACCGACATCTTCCTCCTCGCGGCCGGCGGCCCGGGCTGCGCTCCGCGGGCCCTAAACTTCCATGGGTGCGCGGGACCCCAAGCCCGCGGCGGGTCCCGGGGGGAGGCGGCCCTGCGGGAAGGAGGGATGGCGGGGCGGGCGGGCGGATGAATGGGAGGCCGGGAGCCGGGGAGGGAAGAGGGGAAGGTGAGAAACAAAAAATAGTCAGAATCCCTTACTTGGAGAAAGTTATTAATAAAGCAAAAGTGTTCACAACTGGACAGCCCTAACCGGTTTGGCTTAGTGGATAAAAAGTCAGCCTGCAGAATGAAGGATCCTTCCTGGGTCGATTCCAGTCAAGTGCATGTACCTTGGATGC